CCCCTAGATCACTTCACAACCTCTGGTCCCCCAGTATCACCCCTCAAACTCTAGCCCCCCACAATCACTCAAGACTCTCTAGTTCCCCAAGATCACCACATAACTTACAGTCTTAGGGGAGCTGGCTATGTACTAGGAGAATCTGGCTGTCTTTTGTGGGGATTTGGCTGTGTCTGGGGTGAATTAGTTGTTTTGTGAGGAGCTAGCTCTGTGTCGGGGTAACTGGCTGTATGTCTGGAGGAGCTGACCGTGTTTGGGGTGAGCCAGTTGTATGTTTGTGGGGAACTGGTTGCATGTTTTGGGGAGCTGGCTGTGTACTGCGGGGGAGCTGGCTGTGTATTGGGAGGAGCTGGCTGTGTGTCTGGTGGAGCTGGCTGTGTACTGCGGGGGAGCTGGCTGTGTATTGGAGGGAGCTGGCTGTGTGTCTGGGGGAGATTTCTGTGTAGGGAGAGGAGCTTGCTATGTATTGTGTGGAGCTCCCTGCATGCTTGGGGAAGCTGGCTGCTCTGACCTCTGCACATCTTATGCCCCCAAAGCTTCCTTCCCTTCCATGTTTCTAGTGAGCGACGTCTCTGACTCTTGATTTAGAGCTCCTGCAACTGACTCCAGGGACTTGGAGCCATCTCTCTGGGTCCTGACCACAATTTGAGGGAGAACCCAGCCCAGCCATGTCCCTCAGATTGGATATAACAGCCAGTTGGATATAACCAGAACCTCTGGCCCAAGCAGGTTTGCACCTCTGAGAGTCCCCCAAGTCCAACGGCCCCTCTGAGTATGGGTGACAGCAGGCACCCAGTGGAAACTGAAACAGTGAAATAGACCCGAATGAGGAAGGAAAACCCAGGCTCAAGTCTTGCAGTCTCCAGCCCCAGGCGCCCCTGTCCTGGCTCAACTGGGACCTCCTCCAGGACCCTAAGACAGACTGCTCTGGGAGGGAGGGGCATGCCAGAATTGCTACCCAGGGTCTAGAAAGCTGGAGCTGGTTTCACTGGGAGCCTGCTCAGTCTTTCTGCCCCAGGGCCTGGGAGTGAGCGAGAGGCAGGGTTGCGGGCCGGGAGATGACAGTCAGGCCCGTTGCCTGCTGCCACAGACCTGGCTGAGACTGCCCACAGCTGTCCATGTGTCCTGGGACAGCCGAGCAAAGGTCCACATACTGGGGTCTTCTTGTTGTTGTCACGTGCCATTGAGTCAATTCCAACCCATAGCGACCCTGTATAGAGTTTCCAAGGAGCAGCTGGTGAGCTTGAACCACTGACCTTGCAGTTCAAACGGCTTTGCAGTCTGGCACATGAACCCACAGCGCCACACCAGGACTGGGGTCTTACAGGACCAGAAATGTGTTCTCTTGCAGCTCTGGAGACTGAGAGTCAAGTCACCGTGTTTCCTTGAAGGCTTCTGGTAACCCACTTCCACAAACCCCTGCTTACTACGGCTGGGCTGACTCATAGCAGGAACCATCCTAAAGAAGACTGGTGGACCTCCTAACAACCCCTCCTTGTCTGTGTCACGGGCCTGCCCATGACACCTCTCCCTGGATCTGGGGGCAAGAGCAGCAGTGGCAAGTGTGCTGGCATGGAGGTCATATCAACCAAGTCCAAGTGCCCAGAACGAGGGAGGTGATTGTTTTATTGGCCCCGCCAGGACTTCTTCTGCAGGAGCACCAAAGGTCCAAAGGGGAAAATGAATGGCAGTGTGGGAAATGCAATTCAAAGACCAAGTTTGGCCTGGGCTTGAGGGCTGGTGAAAGAGAGTGATCGAGATTTGCTTACACCCATCCATTCGGGTCTGTTCCCCAGGCATCCCAGACTGTTTCCCCAACAGGGGCTTCGCTTAGGCTGTCCCCACTGCCTAGGAGGTTCTTTCCTTGTGGTCTGACTACTCCTGCTCATCTTTACGGCCCCACCTAGGAGGAAGTCCTGAGGGGGCCCTCTCTGGCAGCATTGCTTAAACTCCTTTCTACCCTGAGATTTGCTCCCTGGCATGGACCAACCATACTGTAGAGTTTTACATGTGCAAAGTAACCACTTGAGTGCTTTCCATCACTGGACCATAGTGCGGGCCTGTTTTGCTCACGGTTATGTGCCGTACCCATGGCCCAGGCCTCCTCAGTGTATGCTGAGTGATGAACAGTAGAGGAAAGATGGAGGCTTTCTTGGCCCTGAGTAAACCAGGAATGAACAACTGGAGGTCAGAGGTCAGCTAACTATCCCAAAGTGGGGGCATCTCGGAGGGCCAGGTTACTTGAAACCAGGTGTGTGCTAATAGGATTGGATGCGCTGGACCACCACTACCAGAGGTAAGAGGGGAGAATTACCTGAGGCCAGGTGTGCACTAACAGACCTGACCATCCCTCTCAATTCTTCCTTTCTCCCCGCCACAAAGTCTCTGGAGCCATCCTCCACTGCTGCAGGCCTGGCTTCTGTGAGGAGGGACACCCGACCCTCACGGTGACTTGGGACAGGAACTCCAGGCTCTGGAAGCAGCCCAGTGGGAACTTCGCTGCGTTCTTGTTCATCAGAGACCTGACCACACTTCCGACTACACTGGAGCTCCTCCCCTCTCTGCTAATGGAAACCTGGTGATCCATAACCACGTGTATGCAGACACCTGCTCCAGGGTAATGCAGTGGTAATGTACATATCGATGATCAATCAACAGATTCATAAAAGAGGCATAAGGTATTTAATTATAACTGCATCGCGCTCCTGTGTAATGGCGGCGACATTTGAATAGGTCACAGCCAATCCGCACCCTGTTATGTTGTTGGTATTAAATGCCACTCACTCTCAGAGCTGGGAGCCCTTACTTGAGTCAAAGGGACTGCACACACCGGGCAAATTGAAAATGTCCCTTTGCTTTTAAAAACATGATTGATATCCTTTGAAAAACAAATGCTGCACATTGGAGTGCGAAGATTTCACCTGGTGCCGACTCTGTCTCTTCAACCTGCAGTTGGGGCCGGAGGTTCAGCCAGGAATGTGTTCTGAAGCCTCCAGAGAGTGTCCTATTTAGGGCAAAGGGTCTTTCTGTCCTGAATCAGGCCTCACTGACCAGAACACGACACAAGAATAAAACACAAAGTGACCACAAAGATAAAACACAAATTTTGTTTGCTCCATTGGTAGTAGAAAAAAGATATCTCCATAGACTTTACAGAATATACACATGCATTGTGCCCTTTGCTTTACTTTTTAAATCAAATTCTGTGTCACTTTAAACACTAATTTTAGAAAGAATGACTAGGAGCCTAACTAAGCACATGGGACAGCAGATACAGGGACAGACACTCAGACCATGATACACAGACGCATAGCACATGTGTGCACGTGGGGCTTCTGATGGCGTGGAAGAATCACAGTGGAGATGGGAGGGTCTGGGGGAGCCACATGCCTGGGATCTGAGCGGGCTCTGCCTGAGTCAGGTCCCCAACCCATAAAGTGAGCACAAATTAGCATCATTTGTTCTCAGGGCGCATGTCACAGGAGGGTCAGAGAATTCTGGAGTGCCAGAAGCTGGTCTTTGCAAAAGAGAGGTGTTGTTCACATTACAGGTCTCTTTCAGAAAAGGGCATTTGGGGCTGGACCTTCCCCCTCCAGCTGCCCTGATGGTCACCATTTGTAGGCTTTGGCCAGACAGCTAGGGCCCTAGAAGCAGAGGAATGGCTACATCGCCATTGGTGCTTACCATAAGAATTTTCACAGCATCTGGAAGGGATGGGGGTCCTCCCTCTTTTTAAAGGAATCAAAGCAATGCCTCCAGTTTCTCTTTCCGGGGCAGGTAAATGACTACAATGCAAGGAAATGCCAACGCCTGTGACTGGGAGACAATACCCGCCTGTGACTGGGAGACAATACCCGTATTACCTGAGGCTTCGAATGGCTGGGGTCAGTCCATCCGCAGCCTGTTCACCTGCACCTCTTTCCAGCTCCTGTCTTTAAGACACTTCAGTAAAGCGTGACAATATAATTCTCAACAGAGACAGCTCGTTCCCTGGGTATATTTTTGCTGTTAACAAAATTAGGCAGCCTTTGTCACTTAGTGGATCAGATTAGGTGTAATCCATACTAATGTTCAAATTAAGTCACAGAAAGCAATTAACGCCAAAAAAAAAAAAAAATGGGCTAGTGAAAAATGATCAGGTTGGTCAAATAGTTTTACTGTGTATAATTGTGTGTGTGTGTTAAATGCCCAACTCTATGCCGTAATTAAATCATTTACATTGCAAATGGAGTGCACAATTCCATTTCAGATATTTGCAGTTGTACACATTCTTAATTGCACATCTCACACTGTACCAGGAATTTTATCAGTCGCCTGCCACCGGAGGCTGCATTCGAGGGAAACCAGCTGAGTGGAAGTTGAGCCATGGAGTTTACAAGAGTCCTCCCCCCACACACCAAGATGGGCCTCTCCCTCCCTCCCGCTTTCTTTCCTTATTTCCTATAGATTAAAAAAAAAAAAGTGCAAGGAATCTTTGAAGCCATCATCCAAATATCCTGACAACAACACAAGATATATTTGTCACTTCTGCTAACCTCCCCCACAGTAAACACCCCTGGGGTAGGGGTAACACTGGAAACATCTACTAATGTCCCCACTGGGACCACAGTGTGCAGGTTCTTACATGATCAAGGGGTGAAATGCCACTTTAGCTCAGAGTGAACTCCACTCTGAACACTCTGATATTTCTACTCCTTGGGTATGATTTCTGGGTGAACCTACAGCTGATCTTTAAATCCATCTGGAGTTCACTTGGGACTTTTCCTGCAGGGAATCTTGATTTCTGAGTGGAGAAAGCCTCAGAAGCAAAATGAGTAATTTTCTTGAGATCCATTTGTGTCTCTGGAAGCCCAGAGCTGGTTTAAAAGCCCGGAATGTGGAGAAGTTTGTGAGATCCGCAATACCTGGACTTCTTGCTTCAAGATTGGCTGAATTCACCCTTTCAGAGGTTCTTGCAGGAAGAAAGGTTCCAGGCCAATTGAAATCTGTCAAATCCCACCTCACATTGTCCAAAAACAGAGGTTCATTTGTTTGCCCTCCTGCGTGGGATGGGGCGACCTGGGCCCAGGGGAGGAGAGTATGTAATCTATACTGAACTTGATGTCCCGGTGGTGATCCGCCTTCCCCAGCGTGGTGGGGCTGGCGGGGGGCGGGGGCGCAACCTGGCCGGCAGGGGCTGGTGACAAGGGAGCGCCAACGGGCTGGGGCGAACTGAGGGATCCTCGGGCACCGTCCATCTCCTGCGCTCCGACTCCCTCTTCTTTGAAGTCCCGCTTGGGGCCGCGCCGTCGGCGCCGGCGACGGTAGTTCCCATTCTCGAAGAGGTCGAGCAGAGACTCACAGCCGCAGGCAAACGTCCAGTAGTTGCCTTTGCCCTTCTCATGGCCTTCGGCTCGGGGCACCTGGCGGCGCGCGGTGAGGGACTAGGCGCTGGACGATTCCACTGCGCGCGCGGCTGACCGCCCGTGCGCCCCTGGGCTCCCGGCGCACCGCGTGGGCGCGTATCCAGGGAGCCCCTGACATTGCGCTTTCCCACCCATGGGGTACGGGGTCTGGGAGAGAGGTTTCATTTCTTAGGATAAGGTTTTCTGCAGCCATGGATGCGACAGTCCCTCCTGCATGGGGCCCGGCGCTGGCTTGGGGTGCACTCACCTTGACAAAGCAGCTGTTGAGGGACAGGTTGTGTCGGATGGAGTTCTGCCAGGCACGCTGGTTGGCGCGGTAGTAGGGGAACTTCCGCATGATGAAGTCGTAGATGCCCGCCAGGGTCACGCGACCCTCCGGACTTTGCTGGATTGCCATGGCGATGAGCGCGATGTAGCTGTGAAGGGGGGGAGGCGAGCCCCCAGCCGTCTGGAGTCTCCACCGAGCGCCCTTCCACCCGCCGGGCCCCCTCCCAAGGTCGCCCCCTCAGGACGCCGTTGGGGTGTTGGAGATGGAGGTCGGTATGTGACCCCTGGGATTCCCTGACTCCGCTTCTACCCAGACCCCAAACTGTCTTCCCCTGAATTGGGGGGACCCTCTTTGAGAGTTCAAGAGAACTTCCCTGCTGTCCCCAACGTGCACTGCGCCTAACTGAGCCCAGGCTGAGAAAAGAAAGCATCTCCCGACTTCCTTCCGGGACAGGTCCCCCCGGAGGAGGATCGCAGCCTGCAGTCCTCACCACCCATCCCTGAGGTCACCTGTACGCGGGCCGTGTGAGTTGCTTTTCCTCATCTGAGCTGCCGGCCGGAAAGTCGTCGGCATCGTAGTTGAAGCAATTGTAGGGGTACTGCGTGTTGTCAAACATCTTGGCACGACTAAAGCTGCTGTTGCCACCGCCTCCGCGCCGCCCGCCGGTCCTGATGGAGCTGGAGCCAGCTTCTCCCGCCGAGAGCTCGCCGCGTCTGCTCTGCGCGGGAGCCGGGAACCGGGGTTTCTGGGGTCCTCCGCCCGCCCCACCTCGCTCTCATGCGTCCAATCCCGGCGCGAGGAGGCCCTAGCCACCGGTGACAGCGGCGCGGGGGTTGGGGGGGCGGAGGAGCCGAGCCATGGTTCTCGGTGACCCTCTGACCGGCGGCGGGAGGAGGGAGTAGCTTGTTGGGTGGTCCGATGAGAGGAGCTGGGGGCAGCTTCCATAGGCCTGCACCGCTGCTTCGGGCCTCGCTGCGTTCAGGGTTGGGGGTCCCCAAAGGCGCCCCTCAGGCACCTGGTCCTTTGCATACTATTGTAGTGGCCATGTATAGTTTTCAGAGGAGCAGCTGATGAACTTGAACCGCAGACCATGAGGTTCAAAGTGACTTTGAAGTCCAGCACATTAACCCACATGGCCACATCAGGACTCTGGGGACTTCCTTGGTACCTTAGTCCTTGGTTGGCCACGGGTTCGAAGCAGTGGAATGGCAGTGTGTGGGGCCTAGGGAGCATCTCCCCTCCTAGAATAGGAAAGGCACTTCCAGGGGCCCTGGGCCAGAGTTGGGCTTGAGACACCACATCCAACCTTTCCTTGTGACCTTCTCATCCCATGCTGCACAGAATTACACTTTCTCCAAGGACCGCACTTCCAGATATCAACTGGAACCAGTAATTCAGCTCTGTCCCCTGGGTCTGTGGGTACAGAGGGAAATGGGAGGGAAAGGAAGAGAAGGGGTGGGGCCTTGGCTGGGACACAGAGGGGAGTAGTGAGCCTGGGTTTTAGGGGATGCTCTTGTTCTTCACAGTGGATGTTCCACCGGAGGCATCTCAGTAGATGATGCGCAGAATTCTGGCTGATCCCTGTATTGTGTCTCCCTGAGCCTAGGAAGCCTAGGACAAGGGCTTCTTCCAGAAAACTCCCTCAGTTCTGAGATGACACAGGCCTAGGCCTGTTGGCTGCTCATAGGTGTCCCCAGGAGACCCACTACCCCCCTTCTTGGTAAGAAGGGCCTACAGACCTTCACAGTGCTGGGAGTGTCTCTTTGGAGGGTCTCGTTGGAGGAGAGACCCTGGCACCCCCAGGGAGCCACCTGGGTGCAAAGTTGCAGGCCCCCTGTTCTGCACATTTTGGCTGGCTGCCCGGCTTCAGCCCAGGTGCTAAGTCAGGCCCAAGCCATCCAATAGTTCCGCTTTATCCTCATCGTTAGAATAATACACAAAATCCAATAATAAATTTCTACTGAAACAATGCACAACAATTTCATACTCAGTCATTGTGGTGTTACCCATTCTAAAGGTGTTTTGGGGTACAGGGCACACCCCCATGCCACATCACGGGCTCACTCTGTGTTACTTCTTACAGCTGTGTGTGAATCACACAAGGAGATCAAAAGTTCAGTCACAAAGGTGCTGAATAGTCTTGGGGCCTCTCACTCTGCGGATACTCAGATGTCTGACCATGTGAAAACCATCAGATGGGCCCGCATAGCCCTGGTGCCTAGTGCGTTGGTGCCAAAGTGGGGAGGGAACCCAGGTGCCTGATATTGTGTTTGGGGTCCTCCACCAATCCTGACACCCATGCCCCCATTCATCTTGCTCCCCTCCTCTCTCCACTTCTACCCACAAACTTTCAGATGAGCTTTGAGAGTTCTGCAGACCCAAAAGCCAATACCCTGGAGCTTGTCTCCTTGTAGTCCAAGGTCACCAGGGAGATCTGGGGATGCTAGCTGAATGACAGGCCCTCTCCTGACTGGCTTGATGGTCCAGCACATCACTGAGTTTGGGAATGGTCCTTGACCTGGACCGGACCTCAGAGCCTTCCTGGTCCCGCCTGTATCTCTGTGGCCAGCCCTCACAGGGAAGGGGCTTCTGGGGACCACATAGAACCCCATGTTCTCTACCTCACTCGCCAAGGAGCACCCTGTGGGCAGCATACTTAGCCCTTCCATAGCTCACACCTGCTGACCAGCCTCAGGAAGTATGCCTTCCCTGTGGAGATCCACCGAGTAGCTGGTGGTATTTATCCTGGAAATAGTGATACCTTTACTCTTTTCAGAGCAGCTTCCAAAAGGCTTGATTGATAGGCCCCCTCCCATTATCCAGAAAAGAAGCTAAGAGAGTGGGTGGGTGGGTGGAGGGGAGGGGGTAGTTAGTGACATGCCCAGAATCCCACAGCCGGTGAAGGTCAAAGTCAGTGCTAGAAATCAACTTCTATCTAATCTAAGAGTTCTGTCTATCAAAACCCTGCTCCCCAGGAGTGGCCACCTGGAGATGTGAGTGGGGCAGGGGTGGGGCGGTATGAGGTGGAGGAGTGAGGAGGGTAGTGGTACAGTGGAGGTCCACAGAAGGGAGACACCTGGCTGCATCTGGGCTTTTGGTTTGGGACAAGACTCTGGCCCCCTATCCCATGCAGCAATGCGTGCCATAACTCCCTGGTGGGATTTGGTGCTGTTTATAAAACCAGGAGACACTTTAAAATGAGATGGAGATTCTGCTGAGACTGGATTTGTGAGTTGGAACCCAGTCCATCCTCTAGTTTTTGCAGGTCTGGATGCAAGCTGAGTAGACCTGACATCTGGCAAACATCTGGGAACTCCTTCCCTGAGAGTCACACACCAGCCCACACCCAGCCTCAGACCACGAGGACAAACAAAACAAGAAAGAATAAGGGCAGAGTCCTGGTGTGGTGCACCAGACTGCAAAGCCATTTGAACTGCAAGGTCGGCAGTTCAAGCTCACCAGCTGCTCCTCGGAAACCCTATACAGGAGCTCTATGGGTCGGAACTGACTCGATGACACTTAACAATAACTATAACAACTGCCGAGAAGATGCACTAAGTCTTAACATATTTCTCACCATCTTTCTGTACTTGCCAACAGTGTTCCAAGACTCAGAGGTGCTAGGCAGCACAAACCTTTAGTTTCAGGATTCCTTGACAATCCCTAAAACACGGAGGTCCTCAAAGGACTAAAACAGAATCTCAGGGTATATGTTTGGGTGGAAACTAGCAGTTAAATGAATTAATCTCAAGCATCAAATGGAACAGCTAAGTCCTAGAACAACAAGTATACTATGATTCCATTTATGACGATGCCACCTATTAAGCATTTGACTACAAACTGAAAGTCGGGTGGTTGAAGGCTCAGCGGTGCATCAGAAGAAAATACTGGCAACTTACTTTCCAAAGGTCACAGCCTTGAAAACTCCATGGAGCAGTTCTACTCTGTAACACCTGGGGGGCACCATGAGTCAGCATCTGCTTGACAGCAACCAACAACAAATGAATATGACTTGTATTGTGTCAAACACATATATAAATATAAAGTGGCAAATATATAAAGTCATGTCCCATTGAAGACCAAATTACAATTGTACTTGACCTTGAAGAAGGAGAGAGGAATATAAGGGATATCAAACTTTTCTCTATGATATTGTTACATATAATTTTTGTTGTTGTTGTTACATATATTTTTAATATAAAAAATTTAAAAGTGCACACATTTGCACTTTTATTAAAAATACATGTTTGTTACAGAAAACTCATAAAGTAGAGCAAGGCATAAAATAGAAATCACCCATGAAATTCTTTAATTCAGAGCGAACCACTGTCCACATGCCTGATACATGTGCTTGGAGTGTGGGTTCCATGTGCAAAACAGGTATCATATAAAATTCTTCAAAACCTTGATATTCAATGGCCACAGAATTGCATATGCCATAAATTCATTCATAAACCATAAATGGAAATGCCTCTGAGAAGACTATTTATAATTTGTAGCTATGGGCATGTTATGGGAGAGTTTCTTTAAAAATCAGACGCAAACTTTAAATTTAATTTGTTGAGAATAGTAGCTTTGTGAGGTTCGATCACTCAGCCAACTTATCAGGTATTTACTGTTTTCCAGCCCACACAGCAGAATCGTAGCAAGTCAATGGGAACGCCCTAGCGTTTTGCAAGCTGTTGTTTTGAAGTACTGTTGAGTTGGTTCTGACTCAGAGTGACCCCGTGCAGGGTTTCCGAGGAGCAGCGGGTGGATTTGAACTGCTAACCTTGTGGTTCGCAGTCCAGTGTTGATCCTACAGAGCCACACTGGGAGTCCATTTTCGAAGTAGTGATGCTAGAAGTGCTTCAGGGTTGAAGAAAGGAGATGTGGCCGTTGTGCTTCCCAGCACTCAATGAATGATGTATGAAGAGATTTAAAGAGGAAGTACGAAAATGATATTCAAGTCGCTTTTCCAAACCCACACAGCAAGCTCTTCAATAACTTCCCAATTCACCGAGGTGGAGCCTGTGCGTTTGCCAGCCAGCAGAAATGGTTGCAATTAGCAACTTGTGATTCTTTCTTGGCAAGCGATCATCGCTGCTTTCATTTCAGAAGCAAAATGTAACATTTAAAAAATTCTTTGCAGAGCCTTACACTTAAGTGAGATGAACAGCCAAAGAAAGAACAAGACAGACAATATAAACTCTGCCCTGAAAATGCACTTACGGGGTTGGTAGTATGTCTGTCCCCTTTAATATTTCATCAGACTCTCATGTTTCATGTGCTGAGAACTTGGGATCCACAACCCAGTCTACCACTCAATTTACTGAAATTATTCCAAATATCAAACATTTTGGTTCCTACTTGTAAGTCCAGGGCATGAACAGATATTGCTCATTGGATGGTGAGGTATATTCGATAATAATAATAATAAACCAGTAGAAAAATATTAGAAGCTTGTGTTTTTGTTTTTTAAAAAATGTGATCCATAGAAAGAAAGAAGGTGGAAGAAGGGAGAGGGAACAGAGATAGAGATGAGGAGAGACAGAGCTAGAGAGGCAGAAACAGAGAGATAGAGAAAGAAACAGGAAGGGAGAGAGGCAGGGAAACAGAGACAGAGGTGGGACGACGGTTTGAGATGAGCATACTAGGATTTGAATGCCATTCACAGGTTATAGGAGTCCGGGCATGGCACTGTAAGGTAAGCACTGGACAGGGTCACTATGAGTCAGAACAGACTTGACGACACTTAACAACAGTAACAACAACACAAGGTATAAACTGTGTAACTTTGGAGAAACCCCCTACATTCTCTGAATCAATTTTCTTATTAGAAAAATGTGTATATATTACTTGCAAGTATTTCAGATGCAAGTGATTTAAGCCAGATTCCAATTGATTTAAAGGAATTGTAGAAATTCTCCCATCAAGACATGAAAACTGTATGTTTCATAGCTCTCCTGGTTTAAGGAGCCCTGATGGCTCAG